CCGTTTTCTTCTGTGTGATCCGGGAACTTGGCTGGCTCTTCGGCGATACTAGCACGCATACTCGCGACCCATTTGCAGGGGGCCTCGGCCACGACGTTGAGCTTCCCTCGACGATAGAACGGACATGGACGTCAAATTGGAACTGTTGCAGTTTCAATGCCCATAGAGCGATTATTCCGGACGGGCTCTCGATCGAGTTAAGCCACTTGAGTGCTAGATGGTCTGTTATCACGTCGAACCGGTACCCTTCTAGGGTACCAGCTTCCGGATCGACCACACAATTGTCAGGCACTCTTTCTCGGTGGCGGAATAGTTCACCTCGGCCTTCAGCAACTTCCGGCTCGCGTACGCTATCACCCGCTCCTGTCCCTCAATCGTCTGCGTCAGCACTGCGCCGAGGCCATACTCACTCGCGTCAGTCTGCAAGACGAATTTGGCGGAAAAGTCCGGACAAGCCAACACAGGGGCAGTCGTCAAGCTATCTTTCAATTGACGCAATGCCTCCTCCTGTTTTTGCTCCCATGCCCATTTCCGCTCCTTCCTTAAGAGCGCTGTGAGCGGCTGTACTTGAGTGGCGAAGTTAGGAACGAAACGCCTGTACCATGACGCCATCCCGAGACACTGCCGCAGTTCTTTACAAATTGTCGGGGCCCTCAGGTTACGTATCGCCTCCACTTTCTCTGGATCGGTACGTATTCCTTCCCCGCAAATAACATGTCCTAGGTAGACCAACCTCTCCCTGAAGAAGCTGCCGCAAATTCTCTACATGCTGTTCTTTCGTTGCTCCTATTACCACGATGTCGTCTAGGTAGGCGAACGCATGAGGCTTCATCTCCGGCCGTATTACCGTATCCAAGGCTCGCTGAAATATCGCACACGCCGAATGTAAGCCAAATGGCATCACCCGCCATTGCAAATACCTCTTCCAGGGACCGTGAACGCCGTACACTCTCGAATGTCGGCTGCCATTGGTATCTGCCACTACCCGTGCTTTAAATCCAAAGTGGAAATGAATCGGGCGTGACGCAACCGTTCCAGGATGTGATTAATACGAGGCACAGGATAAGCATCCGGAATGGAATGTGCATTGAGTTGTCGGTAGTCGATGCACTTGCGCCACTCGCCAGTCTTCTTTTTGACTAAGACGATTGGGGCGCTGTGCGGACTACGCGACGGCTCGATGGCATTTGCCTGGATCAGCTTATCCACTTGCTCATCAATGCTGTGTCCGTGTGGATTCTGGCCATTGCTCCTACTCCGTCCTTTCCCTGGCACGTTTCCGCCGTGCCGCTTCCGTAACCAGCGTAGATCTGCCCTTGCAGCTTTAAGCGCCGCCATTTGGGCTCTTCAGGCTCTCGATCTGAGCCGGACCTCACTTCCTTTTTCCTTACCTTTTCCGTCGGTTGCCGAGCGGGTGCTCCCCTTTCATGACCTGGGAGGCCTTCCTTCGGTTCTCTCTGTAGCCGAGCAGGTGCTCCCCTTTCATGACCTTCGGCTCCTCGCTCGTTCCTGGCCCCACGACCGGTGCCGTCACTGCCTCTAGGACTAGTTCCGCCTGCCCGCAGCGTATTGTAGTGCATTGCTCCCAAGAAGTCCATTCCCAGGATAACGTGGTCTAACATCGAGGGCATGATGAGCATCGACATGCTGATCACCTTCCTGCTAGGCCGACGTCCAACAACAATGCCTTCCCTACTTCGAGCGTGGACCCATCTGTCAGCCGAATGCGCGCCTGTATGTCCTCCACTCTCCCCCGAATCGCCCAATTGCGTACGCAATTTCACCCATGAAGCTGCGAGTGGCCCCTGTATCAATGGTAGCAGGCATCGTTCGTCCGCCAATCTCTACCGTATTGACGATCCGGCCACCGTCCACCTTCAGTGGATGTCCTAGTTCTGCGTTCCGCATGTAGATGTCCCCCCGGGGACTTTGCCACCCTCGCCCGTTCTGCACTATTTGAACTCAAGACCCCCTGGTTGCCGGATTGGCTTCCTGAGTATTCCGCCATCTGCCTCACGACGGTCTCGTATTCCACAGCCAGCTGAGTTAGCTGGGATAGGGTAGAGAAGTCCTGCCGCCACACATAAAGCCTGTATTCCGGAGCGGCGTTTTCGTGCACCGGTGCAGCTCTTGCGCCGGCTCGTATCTGGCGTGATGCATGAGAGCCCTCAGCTCTATCAAGTACTCCTTGAACTCTTCGCCTACGCGCTGCCTACGGGACCGGATTTCGTTCTCAGTCGGGCTCCGACTTTTGACGCGGCCGCCCGCCAAAGTCGGGTGGGACGCCCCAGGATGGCGGCTCAAGAGTTTTAGCGTACTGAGATTCCAACTCAGCAAGCCGAGCCCAAATCTCAGTTGAATGACCGCCATCCTGCACGTAAGTGGACAGCCGCTTACGCAGCTCATCCACGCGCCCTTCCTTGTCCAGCGCGAACTCATGGGCGATCGCCACTACCATAGTTGTATACTTCACCCATATATGTTATTATTATTCTCTCGTCCACCGCTAGGGTACCTTCACTCTAGAGTATGCCCGACTAAAAACACCCTGTATAAAATTTTTTTTTGTGAAAATACCTACTTGGGCACTCTTGCGGGGCTTTAATCCGCCGACGTGCCACGCCCCCTAAACGCCTCTATGTCCCTGCTCGGGCGCCACTTGTAGAGAGGCTACTGGCCGGGGTATGACTCTCAGTCTTACCAGGTCCAGCGAATTACAAAACATTTATAATTTCGCTGGGAAAGAGGGTTTAAGGAGGGAGGGGAAGTGGGTATTTTGACCAAACCAAGCCTAGCTCTATTGCTACACGCCTACACTGTCGGGCCGTGGCCTCGCACCAGCTATTCCTTCTGGCCGTGGCCTCGCACCAACTACACTATCGGGCCGTGGCCTCGCACTAGCTACTTCTTCGGGCCGTGGCCTCGCACCAACTGCACTATCGGGCCGTGGCCTCGTACCAACTACACTAGCGGGCCGTGGCCTCGTACCAACTACACTATCGGTCCGTGGCCTCGCACCAACTACACTATCGCCACGCTAACCAGTAATACCCACTCCTGGGCTACAGTCCCGTACCACATGCTCCTACTCTAGGTTAGGTTGAACATCGGCTGATTCCGATGTTAGAACGAGACGGGTTACCGGAGAATAAAGTTCTAGCAAGTTCTCTTTCGATAATCACGGCATATGCACTTTTATTCATTTATTGTTTATTACTATCTTATTGTATCTCGTGAACTAAGGCCCTGCCGCACTGTTTTGGAGCCCTAGCGCTCCGCTATGCACTCTATGATTTTTCTCGTCGAGACGCACGTCTACTCACCCTTAATGTTTTTTCCAAAGTGCCGGCACGCTCGCCGGCGAGCCATGCGCTTGCCTCGGCTGCTCAACTTTGCCGCGAGCTTTCGCAACTTCGCCTCGGAGCTTTCGCTCTTCGCCGCCGAATTGAAGTTGCGCTCTCGAAGACGGTGTTGAGCAACCGATCGACAACGCACGGTTGTAGCGGCGGCTGGCGGTTCAATTCAAACTCACTCTTGTTCAGTTACTTTACTTTTTTACTGCTAATACTGAATCGCTTATAGTATTGATGGCTCCTTGCCTCTTACTTCGCTAAGATCTTAAACTAATACAATTAATACTTATAAACTAAAGAAAAATTAATGAATTGTCCCGACAGCGGCTCCTTGCCGTGATTTGGCCAAAGGGACGACGGCTCCTTGCCGTGAAAAATTGTGGGGTGGATGATCTCCATAGCCGCCTCACACCACCCCCCCCTCACTTCGAGAAAGTGACGGTAACGTCGCCTCTCGCGTTCAGAGTAACGCTGTAGTCGTCCACCCGTCGGACACGTGGAAACGGGTGCGTCGGCATCGGAACCGGCGGATTCGCGCCTCTCTCGCCATTAGCTCCACTATGCCCGAAGACAATGGTGTTCCGCGGGGAAACACCTTCCAGCCCAAGGGGGTGGAAACGGGCACGGGTTTCTTTGCGGGGCTCCCCGGCGTGACCTTAAGGTCGGCACTGCGGGCGACCGTCTCTCCATTGGTGTCAGGCTCCTCTTCGAGTACTGAATCCAGGCTGGTATCCCATCCGTCGATACCGTCAAAGAGGTCCACAATGTCCTCCCACAATTCGCTCTCTGTGGGAGTCTTCGGAACCGTTGGGGATGGATCCTCGGTCGTACTACAGGTCTTGGGTGTCGATGGATGGCGTTGCCATCGTGTTCTCGCAGCTATTTCTACTTTCAAACTATGACTTTTTGCAAATTTATCACGCTCGCTGCGCCTTCACGAATCCAAAAAGCTTGCTTTGTTGCTGAATTATTTGCAAAAGAGCCATCAGCTGAGAATATGCGGTTCCAGTGCTTGTGTGTGACAGCAATTATCAAAGTCTTTTGCATCGTTTAAACCCGCTGCTACTAGCTCCCACGATGCACAAGATTTTTCACTGCCTCCACAGCATCCTCATCCCAAAATATTGGGAACTTTTCTTTTGCCACAAAAAATTGCATCGGACAAATCTTCGTCGACCGCTATAGCTTTCTGACTGAGCCCTGATCTCATAGCTTTGATCACTTATCTGCTCTTCAGTTGTGTGGTTCACATGCACATTCGGCTCCACATAGACTGATCGTCTGAACACTGAACACTCCCTTGTATCCAACTGTTCCTAAATAATACGAATCGGCATTTCGTCCGCTCAAGTAAAGTCTAAGAAGTAAATTTAACACTTTAACAACGAAACTAGTGTTGCGTCTGCCAGAGTTCCAATTTTTTTGCGAATGATTGCAACTGCTTGGTAATGTCGAGCTCTACCGTCATACGGCCTTAAAATTTGTTATGCTGCGGTTGCAAGAATCGTATTTCCTTGTTGCCGTCAAATTGTGATACTGAATTCCGAATATCTTTAGGTTCATTACAAATGACCTTACCTATTTTGGTACTGCCCCATTTATGGCGGCCTGTTTTAACTAAATGATCTGTTCGTTATTCATACTCACTGCTGGCTGTTTTTGGCTTGTCGCAAATATTTCTCTATGACTAGGAAGCAATTCTTCGTCACTAGCATTATTTGTGTTTATTTTATTTCGTACATTTTTTTTTAGCAAAGTCAAATAAAAAAATTGTTTTAAATTCAGTAACAATAATAGATTTAGGTTTATGAAATATCTTTTTTTAATTATGACTTGTGTTTAATTTTTCTGTACTTATTAATTTTTTATTTAGAACATTACATGAAAATTTTGTGTTGCTAAGGTTTCTTAGAATCAGTTGAGGAGTGCTAAGTTATCAGATTTCACGGTTTATTTACTGCAGAGGTCGTTGGAGTCGCGCTGAATTATTTAATTTTTCTTAAAAACGTCGATGATTTAACTCGATCAACAACATGGCTCTGCCTTTTATTGTGTCATTGACGACTTAGGTTGATTTTCACATCATCTTTTTTATACCCTGAACCCATTAAAAATGGGTAAAAAGGGTATAATGTATTTGTGCAAATGTATGTATCAGCCAGAAGGAAGCATCTCCGACCATATAAAGTATATATATTCTTGATCAGCATCAATAGCCGAGTCGATCTAGCCATACCCGTCTGTCTGTCCGTCCGTCTGTCCGTATGTATGAACGAACGCAAGGATTTCAGACCCTTTAAGAGCTAGAGACTTGAAACTTAGCTGTAGGTCCTCCTAGTACGAGATCGAGTTTGTTTCCGATATTCGATAAATGGACCCGTTTCCAAGTAATCGATATCGAAATCTTGTCTTTTGAGCAATTTCGGCAAATAATATTAGCTAGAGCCACCAAACTTGACATGAAGCTTCTAGAATAGTATATATATATAACGTATCTTTAATTTTATACTTATCGCCAACTCCCCGCTACCGCCACAAACTATAAATCAAGTTAATTATCCTATTTGTATTGCCCATCAATTTAAGCCACAATTTATATGCAATTGACTTTTTGAGAATACACAAATATTCTATCCACAATAAGATGTTTTGTCGAAAATTTCATTAAGATCGGTTAGGAAACACAAAAGATATGTGCGCGCGTGATAGCAGCCAGCGCAAATTCCCAGAATTTCTGTATACATGTACACACACACATTCATGCGCGTCTGCTTTGAATTCTATCAACAGCATTGCAATTGCGATTGTATTGTTTTCTGTGCTGCTATTTTAATTCGTTTTTTACTCATTAAGATTCAGTTAGTGGTGTGGCTCTTGAGTAGAGGCGGCGGCAAGTGGTGCGGTTTAGTTTTTTCACTTTAATTTTTCTTTATTACTACTAAAGCAAACTAGCGCGTAGCGCGAGCTGCATTTGATGTTGGAAGAAAAGTGTTCAGGGTATCCCCTATTCGGGAGCTCGCGACTAGAACATCTTACTTGTTTGTTGTTTTATTCTTGGTTTGTAACAGCGTTGACAAGTGCTTTAAGATAATTGTCACACAAATGGTTTGTGCTATATCTAATAATTTTTTAGTTAGTAATTCTTACTCTTTCGATTCAAATCCGTTATGCGCTAATTAAAGATTTAAATGAGTTATATATTTCAATTGTGAAACTTTATTAGGCGTTTGTGCCTGTCGACTACATCATTTTAACTGATCTTAACATAACAAAACGCTATGCCACGTAATCCATGGTCTGCATGCTGCATTGCATAGCCCAAATGGCGTGACTATGAATTAAAATAGAGGTCCGCGGGGACTGTAAATGCGGTATAGGGCTTGCAGGATAGCGGAAACGCGTGCATCGGGGCAAAAAAAAAATTTTTTTGTCCACTTCATCATTGGGCACCTTCTACTAAGTCGATGGTATGTTTCTCTAATTCTGTCGTTCCCAATCCACTTTGTTCAAAAGACGAATTCTGTACTTTCTCCTTTGACAACTCCCAGGAATCTGGTTTACTTCCGAGTTCTTCGTCTTCTTCCACACTGGCATGAAGTGTCATCATATTGTAGTGTGTATATGCCCTTACAGAATACTCTGTACTTAAATATAAAGTATGCAGCACTTTGTTGCATACAATAACAATTTTATAGTAAACAAGCCCAGAGCCACTTTATGTATTGGCTCTGTCTCATATTTCGCAGCGCGGTTCACTAGCCGCACTAGCTGACCGTTTATGCTTACGCTGCATATCCCACGCTCCGTCTGAGCGCATTCCGTGAGCAATATACATGCTCACTAATACAGGCATATGCGAGCTACTCACTCTCCCTCTCTTTGTAGCTGTTAACCAATAACAGCATAAGTATATATAGTGACATATTCACAACA